CCCCAAAACCCCAAAACCCCAAAACCCCAAAACCCCTTTAAAGAATAAAATTATTGAAAGTTATGAAAACGACTCAAGAAGAATATAGAAAGACTCAGCAGAACTTCAAAGAGGCTCTAAGTAGCTCGAGTGGTAAGCCTTTAAAATAACTTGATTTTTTTAATATTTTATTATCTTACATTACTTTTAGACAAAGCAAAAGGTGAGATAGCAGTGAAAGTTAGACTTAAGAATAAACAGAGTGAATCACGTTATAAGCATCCAAAGATTAAAAGAAATTATAAAGCTTTTAATGGAATAAGACCTATGTTTAAACAAAAGTTGACAGGAACATCTACTACTTTAAATTGCTCAGAAAAGATTCGGAAGTATAAAGTTGTCAGGTCAAAGCATAAGAAGGAAAATCATAACGATAACCAACCAAAGATGATAAACAATGGCAATTCGAAGGTAAAGCATAAAGGATTCATTCTTACTTAGAATCATTCAAGTATACCTCTCCTACCAAAATCAGATAAAATTATATCAACCAGGGACAAGTGTCTCACCCAACGTGCTAAAGCTAGTTTCCAAAACTTAGCAGAAGAGGGTAAAAACTTTGTTCCTAACTCAATGGTAAATAAAACAGTTAACCAGAATGGATCTCTTGAGAAATAAAAATGTTTTCATTGCTAAGAAGATGGATAAGAACCCATCATACCTTTACCGTCCAGAGAACTTTTTAAAGGATAATATTATCACAGTTGGAACTAACCCTCAGGAAAATGACAAGTAAATTAAGCGTAAAAGTTCCTAGAAATGCATCTACACAAGCTGATAATTTGGTCATGACAAGGTCGATTGTGGGTTCAATAGAGTTATATCAGAAGCATAATAGACGGAATCATTTTCGTGCAAAGTCTATGTCACTGAATGTGGGTAAAGATTCAACCCTGTCAAAGTATGCAGTAGTATTACCATTTAGGAAAGGAATTGGCACAAATATGAACCAAGGTACTTTGTAGACATAAGAATCTTCCAACCTCTCATTTTTAGGAGTTGATAAATACAGAAGGAAGAAATCTATAACGATTGAGTATAATGGCCTTAAGCAGCTAAAGAAAGAAGTTGAAGAAAGAAGAAAAAATGTGCCTAGTCACAAGTACTACATAGAATTATCAATCTAGGTATGAATCAAGTATTACCAAGAAAAAGAAGAAAATTGAAGAATTGAAGAAACAAAGTGTGGATACCATGAAACTCCGGGGATCTCGAGGGTATGTTCTCTGTAAGAACGGGCCTCAGCAATTGAAGAGCACTGATGACCAAATGACTACATTTGAGGATGCCCAAACCGCTTCAATATATTTTCATGATTCGAATCGAAATATTGGAGAAGAACTATTTCTCGAAACCCAAGATATTAATTTGTTAGAGCAGAAATTAAAAAATAGAGAAAGTAGGTCAAAATCTAGGAAACAAAAGATTGAATCACAGATGAGTGCAAATCATAAAATTATTGATCTCAAGACTAAAAGACATCTTGAGCTGTATAAAAAGAGAGTAAAAGAATGGGAAGCACAAGAAAGAAAAGTAAAGAAAGTACTGGACAGAAACAAATCTGAAAACTTGCACTCAGCTATTGATAATTTCAGGTTAAAATAAGGAGCAAAGAGAGCTGACTGAGAAAATGGCTCCTGTTCTTGAGAAATACGGTGCCAATAAATTATGGAGCATGAGCTTGAGAAGGCGAGACCAAATCGAGAAAAGGATATTTAAACTATCAAAAGGAAGTAGGGTAGAGAATAAGCAGTATTTACTTATGGATGACCCTGCTAAAGAGATCCAAGTAGTACGGAGACCAAAGAGTAGTTACACTAACTATAGAAAAAGGAGTTCAGATAATATCGCAAATTTGCAGTATAAGAAAAGAAATGAGTGGTTTAAAGGTATTTTCATGAAATTTAATTTTGTAACAGAACCGTATGAACTCTAACTATTTTCTTTAGCTGATGACAAGCGAAAACACTTTGGTGTCAATATACTACCAATGACAGTCCCAGAGAAAAAATTCATCATCGACCAGGAATGAATTGATGGACTAGCTATCAAAGGAGATAACAAACTAGAAAGAGAGATTGAAAGTATTTACAAAATAAAGGACAAAACAAAGATTATCTACAAAAATCTGACTACCCCAACTCCTCCCAAAGACCCCAATACTAAACTACCCCCATTCCTAGACACCCAGGTCCTTACTACAATGGAGGAGGAAGTGATTGCCATTCATCACGATCAGAACCTCTACGCCTAACTCCCAAAAACCCTATTCCACCACCATCATCTTAAAGGGGTTTTGGGGTTTTGGGGTTTTGGGGTTTTGGGGTTTTGGGGTTTTGGGG